TTCTGCAAAAAAAAAGGAACGCTTCACATTTGCATGTCATCCTTGCGCAGGGGCCATGCTAATCTTCTCTGTATCATTCCAATTTTAGTATATGTGCCGCCAAAGTGAGCACAGGGTCTCACTTTATAGCACAGGCTGACTCAAATTCAGCTATTCTCCTGCCACAGCCTCCCAAGTGCTGGGATTATAGGCATGTGCCACCACGGTCAGCTAAATATCTACTGTTTTAATAGATAACCTTTTTGTTTGTTTTGTTTTTGAGACAGGGTCTTGCTGTAATTCAGGCTAGATTTGAACTCACTATGTAACCCAGGCTAACCTCAAACACAGTGGTTCTGCTGCCTCAGCCTCCCCAAGGGCTGGGACAGGGATACACCACCACACCAGGATCATATCCAGCTTTTAATAGACAATGTTAACAAAAGGTGTTTCTACACTGTCACAAAAAGTCACAGGTCAGAATGCATAAGACTGGGATAAAATCTCAAGTGCTCACTCTTTGTTGGTCCTCAGCTCCCTGTAGCCACTCTCCTGTGATTACAGTGGCTGAACTAGCATTGTGCAGCAGCAGCTCTTGAGCTCAGAGCTTCTTAAGTGTAGTCTTTGCACTGGTGTCAGTCTACAAACTCTCCTTATTGGTCCATGACTAATAAATACACAAGTCCAAACTAAACACTCAGCAGCAACTTTTGCTGGGCCTAGTGGCACAATCTTATAATCCCAAACTACTTTGACATTTTAAAGTTTCATTTTTCTTTTTTTTCTTTTAATTTTATTGAGAAACAAGTATGAATGAAACAGTTTCAAAGCTGATTAATAGGACAGTTTTGATAATCAATACATTGTACATTGTTATCTTCTTAGTGGTTATCCATAGTGCAAGAAGCAGACAAGATATGCTGTCCAAACACTATTAGTACAAATCTTGCTTCTCAATGAATTAAGCAAAAGTAGCTGTATATCTATCTTAACTATTTTGTATATATAAATAAGTTGTATTTTTCTAACAATTATTTAAATTGAATTTTACAAAAGTGTTGGTTCACAAGAAATTGGACATTTAAAAAGCCCAACTAAACTTAGGCATGGTAGTACATGCCTGCATTCTCAGTACTCTGGGGAGCTGAGGCAGGATGATGGCAAATTTAAATCCAGCCTGGGGAACCTAACAAGACCCAGTCTCAAAAGAGGGGAGGGAGGGGTCTGGGGATACAGGGATACAGTTGAATGGGAAAGCCCCGATACAATCCCAATAGAGGAAAAAACAAAAAACTCATAAGTAAAACAAAATCCTGGTTTCTCAATACAGACAACATGAGAAGTGTAAAAAGTACATGACAATGTCCCTGCTACTTAACAGAGGAAAAAAATCTGCTGAGAAGGATTAACACCTTCAAATCCTTCACTGTTCCTAACTCTCTACCACCAGACATATTTAAAATAGAATGGCTACTACCCTTGGGTACCCCAAACAGTGCAGGCTTCAGGAACATGTAAATCCAGATGTTAATAGATATAGTAAAAATCTGACAAATATGTTCCAGAGAGAAAATATATTTTAAACTTACACTCCTAAAGGCAAAAAGCTACTAGAATGGAATATAAAATTGTAACCTGCATATGAGCCGGTGTTTTCTCCAAGCCCTGAAGATGTAAAGTGTACGCCATGAGGGGGCTCGCAGGTCTGGCACAGCACTACCTAGACACTCTGAAAGCATTTTTATCTGCGCAACTTTCTGGGTTTTCTTTTCTTTCTTTCTTTCTTTCTTTCTTTCTTTCTTTCTTTCTTTCTTTCTTTTAATCTATATATAACTTTCTGGGTTATTTTTATCTGTATAGTCCACAATAATGTTTTACTTTTTCTTGGGTATGTAATGCAAACAAAACACCTCTGACTCCTTCCTAAAGTCTGTTCTACTATCTAGATTTCCTTTCACAGCAACAAAAGCTATTTGGGGAAAAATTAAAGCCATTTCAGAGTTGGCACAGTTCTCAATTTCCATTTAAAAGACACATAAGAGAAACAAACTGGATAATCACAACTGGAATGTGTGACTTAAAAACATACAAAACACAGTCTTTTACTGCATAGATTAATATTAATGCTCATCTGTTAAGATGGCAAGACGCCTACTCTCAAATTCTGTTGTCAATTTTACTTGTACGTACCAACCACACTTGGGGTGAAATGAACCATACTTCATTTAATGTGTACTTTATTAAAAAGGCATTTAAGGGGGGTGCTCCTCATGGGACGCATGGTCCTAGGGAACATGGTGGTAAGCCACTGGCAGACAACCTGCTTCTTCGTCAGGTTTTGTACGTAGCAGAGCACTCCCTCACTGCAGTCTACTGGGAGTCAGCCTTGGGCACAAGGGTTTGTAAAATAAATAAATAGGCATTTAAAAATCTATAACATTCATATATCTAAACTATTGTGGGACCGGGGAGATGGCTCAGTAGAATAAGCGCTTGCCTCGCAAGTGCAAGGGCCTGAGTTCAATCCCCAGTTCGGCCAAAAAATAAAAAAATAAAATAAAATATTGGAAAACTTATCTACATAAATTTACATTTGAGTTAAAATGACACATGAAGACAGGGAGATAGCTCAATGGTCTAAGTGCCTGCCTGGAAAGCGCAAGGACCAGGGTTCAATCCCCGGTACTGCATGTCATGCTGTCCCCACACCAAGCTGGCCACAGAAACTGGGTATGGTGGTGCATACCTACAATCCCAGTGCTGAGGAGGCTGAGACAGGAGGATCACTACGAGTCTGAGCTGTTTAGCAAGACCCTGTGCCAAATAAAAAAGTTATAAAAAAAAAGACACATGAAGAGACTACCTTAAAACAAGATATCTATTTGTTTATTTATCTATTTATTTTTTGAGATGGGGGCTTGCTGCATAGTTCAGGTTGGCCTTGAAATTGCTATGTAGCCCAGGCTGTCCTTGAAACTCTTCACAATACTCCTGCCAAAGTGCTGGAATTATGGGCAGGAATCATCATGCTCAATTAAAACTATCTTAAAAAGCTATCCAAACATCATAAAATTTAGGGGCTGGGGAGATGGCTCAGTGGAATAAGTGCTTCCCTGGCAAGCACAAGGATCTGAGTTCAATCCCCAGTTCCGCAAAAAAAAAAAAAATCATAAAATTCATTTCTTAGCCTTCACACATGGATGGCCAGAATTTTCCTCTACTCTCTTAGGATTTGCGCATTAAATCAACCAAAACCAGATTAACAAGAAAAAGACTTCACAAGTATATGAAAGCATCACATACACAAAGTAAAAATCCTAAAAGAAAGTGATACTTGTGATTTTTTTACACCACTTTAACACAGTTTTTCAACTGCAGAGAAATGACTACACAGGGAAAAGATTTTGGGCTTCAAGAGGCAATAAAGTATGTAAAGGTAAATTACACAAAAAACTAATGGAATTGATAAGGATTATCTTACTTATGCAGTCACAAGAGACAGCCACCTCCAGTAAGTCTCCTACAATGATTCTGAAAGCGCTTTCTAGGATGACAAAGGGGTAAGGCCAGGAGACACCTCCATACAGAGAAACTCATGCCTTGCGTTCAGGCGTAGGGGAGCAGAGAGCGCACTCTGCACCTGCTGCTTCTCCACCATGTTCAGCTCAAAATAATCTTCATGGTAAAAAAAGCTTATTTGGGAGAAAGGAACATTTTCTAATCTTCTTCGTGCTCATGTAAAGACAGGTAAAGAAAAAAGCACCATGCAACACACTTAAGATACCAAACACAAAGAGTAAATTCATCCCACAATCCACGCAACACAGAGCTCTAGAAAATCATCCAAGACTCGATATTCAAAACTGTATGAGCACATTTCACGAAGAAAATGTTACCTGAAAGGAGGGCAAATCCTAGAAGACCTGCCTGTCATTACTTCACTAATATACACAAAAGCCATGTGCGGTGGGTGGCACACAGCTAGCGTTCTCGGAGGCTGAGGCAAAAGATTGGAAGCGTGAGCCAGCCTGAGCAATCTGGCAACTCAGCGAGACTCTATATAGTATTTCATAACTGAAAATACCAAAAAAAGGCTAACGCATAGGCCCTAGATTCAATCCCTAGTTCTGAGAAAAAAAGAAAAAAAAAAAAAGGCAAAAAACACTACAGTCTAATAATTACAGGTCAGAACAAAAGATCTACTGAACTCTATCAAAGGCAAGCATCTAATTTATGAAGATAACAAGGTTCTTTCACATATTTCAACAAAGCTGATTTTCAACAATATACAGGGTAAAACTCAAAATATATACATGGGAGAAAGATACCAAGAAAAATGTTTTTAATGTCAACATCTCAAATCAGATTAACTAAACTAAATTAACAATACATGAAAAGTAGTAACAAAAGGGAAGGAACTGGGATGACTGCTTCGGAGCACTCAGTGTTCTGTGTGTGGCCCACGAGGCTGAATGCTCTGGTCACTGTAAACTAAAAAGCTGTTTTGAAAGTAAAACACAAGAGATAAACTAAAAGATATCAGCAATTAGGACCACACAGAGAGTCTGAAAAAGACCAGGAAAAGCCAAGCTTAAGAAGAAGTAAACACCTACAAGGTGTTTTTATACAAGAGCACTCACTATTCCTATAACTTATCCTACATAATATAGTAGCTCATACAAACTACTCCAAATAATTCATGGCCATATTTCATAACTAGATTCACCCTCTTGGTTTTTTGTTTTTTTTTTAAGTCATTGCTTTCAAATAATTCCTGACAACAGTTTATTGCTCCTTGATATTTTATCTTATCACACCATAAATTATTTTCAAGAGCTGAACTGTAAAATCAACAGTAACATGACTAGACCTCATTAAACTGGGAATTAGAAGCACTAATTGGTTGGGCTGAAATTTATTTTGTATTCTAATGTTATTTCAATTGATTTTCATACAGTAAGAGTACAACCCATGTTCTCAGTATAAAAATTCAACATAAACACCACATGAAAAATAGTTACCTGAATTTGAATCTGGAAAAGACAAATAGCAAATATTGGTTTTCTGAAAAAGAAAACAAAAGCTATATATGCTGACATATATACACACACCAATAAAAACAAACAGGATTATAACAGTAGAGTATACAGAACAATTTACTTACTTCTTTATCCGTAAGTTTGGAATGTTGAGGATAAATTACCTGGAAGAAGAGTTAAATTTTGTTAGACAAGAACATTAGTAGGCCACAACATTTTAGTTGGCTATAGTCAAATGACTTCAAGAAACACTACACAGCCAGGTATGGTGGCATTCACCTGTAGTCCTAGAACATTTGAGCCCAGAACTTCAAGGCTTACTTGGACAGTAGACCTCATCTCAAAAAGCAAACTCTCTCTCTCTCTCTCTCTCTCTCTCTCCAGCAGTGAAATGACAAAGTAGGACAACTGAGTAGAATTTACATTAGGTTAAAAAAATTGAATCTAAATTATCTCTAAGATTGGTAACATCACAAATTATCAAGTAAAACTTACCAAATGAATAATAACTCAAAGCTTAATTTTTTTAAATCTATAATTTAATGAAAACAAACCAGGTATGTGTGGTGGTGCACACCTGTAATCCTAGCACTCGGGAGGCTGAAGCAGGAGGATCATTGTGAGTTTAAGACCAGCATGGGCTACAAAGTGAGCTCAAAGCCAGCCTGAACTGCATAGCAAGACCCTGTCTCAAAAAGACAAATAGCTCTTTGCCGCATCTCCCGCAAGAATGAAGACCATTCTTAGCAATCAGACAGTCGACATTCCAGAAAATGTCGACATCACTCTGAAAGGACGCACAGTTATTGTGAAGGGCCCCAGAGGAACCCTCCGGAGGGACTTCAACCACATCAATGTGGAACTCAGTCTCCTTGGGAAGAAAAAGAAGAGGCTCCGAGTTGACAAATGGTGGGGAAACAGAAAGGAGTTGGCAACTGTCCGCACGATCTGTAGCCATGTACAGAACATGATCAAGGGGGTTACACTGGGCTTCCGTTACAAGATGAGGTCTGTGTATGCTCACTCCCCCATCAACGTCGTTATTCAGGAGAATGGGTCTCTCATTGAAATTCAGAATTTCTTGGGTGAAAAATACATTCGCCGAGTTCGTATGAGGGCAGGTGTTGCTTGCTCAGTATCTCAAGCCCAGAAAGATGAACTAATCCTTGAAGGAAATGACATTGAGCTTGTTTCAAATTCAGCTGCTTTGATTCAGCAAGCCACAACAGTCAAAAACAAGGATATCAGAAAATTTTTGGATGGTATCTATGTTTCTGAAAAGGGAACAGTTCAGCAGCCAGATGAGTAAGATCCAAGAGTTAATCCAGCCGCAGAAACAAGCTTCTGGATTGTAAAGCTAATCTGATATTTTAATGAGACAATAAAAAATCTTTATTAAATAGAAAAAAAAAGACAAATAAATTTTTAAAATCTTTCAGCTAAGATCTACTTCAAGAAATAATTTTCTGCCAAGTGTGGAGACACATGCCTGTAATCCTAGATATGGGATGCTGAAGCAGGAGGATCAAAAGTTTGAACCCAGACTGGGCAATTTAGCAACTTGGCAAAACCTTGTATAAATAAATAACTGTAAATAAAAGACTGAGGCTCAGTATGAAGGCCCTGGGTTCACTTACAAGTACTGAAAAAAAAATTTTTAATTCCAAGAGATAATGTATATCATCAAGTACTTATTAAGAAAGATAAGCTTGAGATATTTCTAGCTAAATGGATGCACCTTAGGACCATATGCTTAAATGAAATAAATTGGATGCATGTGTAAATACCACATTGTTTGTCTGGTATGATAAATTGAAAGGGTAAATAAGCACCAAAATGTGTAATAGATATTGTGAAACAGCAAGAAAATGTTCAAATGGGAAGGGAACTAGGGAGGGGGAAGGGGGAAAAGAAGGGGAAGAATTAGAAAAGAAAAAAATGAAAACAAAGTCTCTGTAAATAAAGAGAAAGAGGGGTTGGAGGGGAGAGGAAGGAAAAAAAATCAAGTTATATCATGTACAGGTACAAATTTCCTATGATGAATGTGATCATTATGTATACCTACAATATACCAATAAATTTACTTAATAAAAATAATTGTAGTTTTAGAAAGCTCAAGGGCCATTTTCGACCACAAAGCCTCCCCTAATTCCTTTAAGTCATCACTTCGCACTCTGTATAGGTTATTTAGCACTTGCAGTGACCACAGCACCTCTGAGGGCAAATTCCTTCCCTTTGCCCCCGTGAAGGAAGCAGTGCTGAGTCAGAGCAGGGACTGCCAAAACAAGCACTAGTGAACACGAGACCCACAAGGCCTCTACTCTGCACACTGCCATGTCATGACCATCCTGACTGAGCAACTAAGCAATAAATGTAGCAACATGACAAAAAGTAGCGACTCAGTACTTTTGACTAGTTGACTGGCCTAATTACAGAGGGATCTCTGGGCACTGGCAGACCTGCTTCTTCCCCATGGCACCAACTGTCAAAGACCAGTGATTTTTCCAAAAGGATACCAGCTTGCAGTACTCAGGGGTTGACAGTCAGGCCCACAACATATAATACATGCACAATTCAGTATCCCCTGTGGCCCAGAAACTGACTGCCTGCTCTTATTTAACTCATTAGTTCATTCTCAGAGAACAGAGATTCTCATGTCTTCGATGTGTGACTGTGGTCCCAACTACTCAGTAGGCAGACGTGGCTTGAACGCAACCATTTGGGCCAGGCTGAGCAATTACAGCAAGTCCTGTAGTCTATTAATTTGTTTATTTTTGCTATACCAAGGATCAAACTCAGAACCTTGCATTTGCCAGGCAGGTGCGTAAGCCACTGAGCTATATCCCTGGCCATGTAGTGTCTTACTTTAAAAAATTAAAAAAAAAAAAAAAAAAAAAAAAAAAAGAGTGGAGAGGATGGCTTTTACTAAACCTCTGATCCCATTTATTAAGTAAACTGAGGCACAAAGATGACAACTCAGCCCAACCTGAGCAACTGTAGCAAAACCGTTCAAAAGAAAAAGGGCTGAGGTTGTAGCGCAGTGACAGGGTGCCTGCCCAGCATGCGTGAGCCCACAGGTTCAAAGTGGAGGATGGGAGACAATCTAATAGACTGCTACAGAGTTCGAGTGTGTGCACAGAAAGTTCATGGTCCTCAGTGTGGTGGTATTTGGGTGATGGAACCATGAGAAAGTGAAGCCTCACAGAAGATAATCAGGTCATGAGGGCAGCCTGAGAATGAATTAATGATAATCTCCAGGAGTAGCTTAGTTCCTCAGAGACCAGGTTGAGACTATAGCTCAGGGACAGGACACCTGCCTAGCATGCACAAGGCTCTGGGTTTGAGTCTGACCACAGCAAAGAAAATAAAGACCTAACTTACAGTGTGACCTCTCCTTCTCATACACACTCCTGCCATGGTGCCCTGCCGGCAGGCAGTCAGAGGCCCTCACCAGGGCTGAGCAGATGTTGGTGCCAGGTTCTTGGGCCTCCAAGACTGAGTTTATAAATCTCTTTATACATTACCACACTATCAGGTACTTCATTACAGCAATAGAAAACAGACTACTACATAATTCGCTGTGTATGGCACAGTAGTATGGCAGGTGCTAAACATATTAAATAACCTATCCAAACTTTCTCAGTCCTATATGACGCCACCTTCAAAACTGATCCTCTGGGGGCTGGTGAGATGGCTCAGTGGTCTAAAGCACCTATTTGAACAAACTTAGCCAAAGCAAAGGGACCACGGTTCAATCCCCCAGCACCACATGCCAGCCGGCCGCGCCCTCTGGTGGGCTGAGCTGGCCACACACACACACACACACACAAATAAATAAATTTAAAAAAAAACAACTGATCCTCTATTACTTACAAAGGCTTATGTAATTAGGTATTAACTTATTATATGAGTAATATCATGCATTTCAAATAACCTAGATCAAAAGGGTAATTATTTCATTATTTCAGGGACACTTAATAATTATAATGGTTTAAATTTATGAAGTGCTTCCCTTGTGGTGAGGCAGTGTACTGCATTCATCAATCCAGCCTCACAAATACACTGAGAAGGGGGAACTGACATCATCTCAGCATTTGCCTGTGACTATGAAGTGTTACAATACCTACAATCAGGAAAGTCAACGTCACTGATGCGGGTCACACTGGTCTGGCTTGAGAACTGTTTCTCCAAACAAAAGAAGATTTGTGATGTGCATTTTAAAGAATATTTAAGAATTCTGTCATCTGAGGCGATGTTTTATTTACATTTACAAAATAGTTTTAGTATTATTACAACTCTCAGTATCCCTTATCTGAAATGCTTGAGAATGGAAGTATTACTGATGTGGGGCTTTTTCAAATTTTAGAGTATTTGCATAGACTTTACTAGTTAAGCATCCCACCATCAAAATAAAAATTCAAAACATTTTGAAACCTAAATCTTTAAAATTTAAAAATATTTTAGTTTATGAAAAATAACTTTTGGGAGCTAGCAAGATACCTCGGCAGACTAAGTGCCTGCTTAGGCAAGCACAGGGACCAGGGTTTGATTCCCAGCACCACATGCTGCGCCAGTCCCACCCATGGGCATGCTAAGCCAGCCACAAGTCTGGGCATGGTGGCAAATGCCTATAATCCCAGCACTGGGGAGGCTAAACCAGGAGGATCACTATGAGTCCGAACTGTGCCAAGGACCTGGGTTCAATCCCTGGCACCACACATCTGTAATCCCAACACTGGGGAGGCAGACACAGGAGGATCACTACAAATCCAAGCTCCATAGTGGGACCCTGTACCAAATAAATAAATAAATTTGAAAAAAGAAAATAAACTTTTGAACTGGGCATGGTGGTGCACATCTGTAATCCCAGCACTCGGGAGTCTGAAGCAAGAGGACTGTTGTGAGTTTGAGTCCAGTCTGGGCTATAAGATGAGCTCAAGGCTACCTGAACTGCATAGTGAAACCCTGTCTCAAAAAGACAAAAAGATAGAAAGGACGGAAATAAGAATTAGAAAGAAAAAAAGGAAGAAAAAAAAAGTAACTTAGTTACAAGGTTTCAGATTCTGCATTTTGGGGTTAGAGATGCTCAAGATGTAAGGTAAAAAATGGGAATAAAAAGCAAGCTGTCAATGTCAATAAATTAGAAGTTCAAGTTACCACCTGCATTTAACATATCTAATTAGCTTCAGTTTTCTTTAAATGGTAAACAAAAATAAAAAATATTTTTTTGCCAGAATAGCATAGTACAGTAGAGGAAAAAATCATGCTTTGGAGTAAAAAAAATTGGGTTCAAATCTTAGCTTCTTAAGTGTAACATTTAGGGCAAGTTACCTCTAAATTTCAGCATTTTTATTTAAAAAGGCTTATGTGGTACATGCCTATAATCCTAGCACTCTGAGAGGCTGAGACAGATGAATAAAAATTAAGATAAAAAAGTTGAACATCTCCAGTTTTTCTAATACCCATTTGTTTTCCAGTTCTCTTAATAAACAACTAGTCAGCACCACAAATGAATAATACAGTAATAAAAAATAAATTGTAATACAGAATTACCAGAAAGCAATCAAACATTAATGGCCACTCAAAAGTAGATCTATTAAGGCCAGGGAGATGGCTCAGTGGAATAAGTGCTTCCCTGGCAAGTGCAAGGGCCTGAGTTCAATCCCTAGTTCCGCAAAAAAAAAAAAAAAAAAAAAAACATAAGGTTTCCTTTTTCCT